AAGGAAACCTTGTATGCTACAGATATTTGAAGACTTGTTCAATGAAATACATTTTACTAACTTGAGAAGTCTGTATCTGTTGGTCATACTGATATAGCAATAATTTCAGTGGCCTTCATTAAAAAAAACCATTGGAAATTGAGCGATAGTATGATAGAAAATATAATTTTGTACTAAAAATAGCATCCTCAGGATTTGGTATGTTATGTGGCATTAAAAAAGGTCTTCCTAGTATATACATAGGCCTAATGTGTGCAAATCTTGTTTTCTTTTTTTTTTTTTTTTTTTGCTTAGTGGCTCTGCTTTTGTCCAGTCTTATAAAAGTATAATTAGTTATTTTGCTTTATTAATTAATAAGCTAAAACTATTGAGAGTAGTAGTAGTGAGAATAGTAATTTAATTGTTATGAAACTTGGTAATACTATAACAATGGTATTATTGTTTACTATAGTAATTTTATTTATAATTTTTTTATTACAAAATTTTTAGGAGAAAATTACAATTTAAAATGCCCTCCATGGATAATCAAAAGTAAGACACTATTGAGGATTTTCCAATGCATCGTAAAATAAAGAAAATTGCAATATTACATTAAAAAAAAATTTTTTCATAATATAAATAGCAAAATGAATTAGTAATATTTACATCCCAATTTGATTTTACTATATAACAGTATTCTATGATTTAAGAACAAAAAAAAAAGAAGATTTATTTAAATGCTAGAGTAACACTTTTTACATAGGTCTAATATTTAAACTATGGTATAAATAACTTAATATTACTGGAATCTTGAAACAAAAACATTATAAAAGGGTCTATTATGGATAGTACAGTAGAGTTCTTTGTTCTCCTCGGTAGAAACAACGTACTGTACAGTAATTTCATTATGAATTGTTTTGCGATTATGACATGTGTCATTAGTTTGTATTGATTGGTTGGCAAATGATGACATCAATGATCTAGAGTAGGCCTGTAAAGCTACGGAGATATGGCAGTCTATTGTTCTAGTAGTATATGGACTGCTCCATTATCTATGAGGTAAGTCAAGCTAAAAAAATAATACCTTTTTGTAAAAATAAATACCATTTTAATATTTCATAATCAATAGTTAAACTATTAATGTTATATTATTTTATGTTTTACCAATATTAGCTAAAAGATATGATTACTTCATGAAATTAAGATTAAATTAAAATTTGTTCTGTTAAGTACAGTACAATTGTAGTGGAGCATTCTCAATTATTTTTGGGTGATAATTGATAATAATAAACTCAGACTTTATGAAGAGAAGCGTCAGCTGAGACAATTGACAAAGGAAAGCTGGTACCAGTGATTGCTAGAATATGTTTATCCATGTGTTATAACAGTACAACTCATTTTCATTCAGTCAGTCGGTTGTTGGCGCTTTCTATTATTTAATTTACGATGTAGAGGAATTTTGCACAATTTTATAATTAACCCAGAAGGTAGGTTTTTATTCATTGCAATATCAGTATTGTCATTTTCAAACATCACTATCATCATCATGATTTATCCTCAGGAGTCATCATCATCATTATCATTGTCATCATTATTTTATTTTGCAGGCAACCACAAGGATAATGACACTATACAGTACTATAACTTTACTGATATTTTCATTGAAGAATTCAAAAAGTTTTTATTATAGGTGCTATACTGACTCAAAAATGTTATGATAGGTCTGTAAGCAATAATCACATGTAGTGTAACACCAAGTTTACCCAATTCATTGGACATAGAATTAATTGACTGCAATATGCACCCTCGTCCACCCCTAGGTAATTATTCCTGGTCTTCATCTTGCATGCAGATAAGGATATCTCCATCATTTGGTACATGTTCAAGTTCGATAAGGTTCTTGATAATTAATTAGTAGGAAGTTTGGATTTCCTGTGTTTTATGATCCCATTTTGTGTCTTATTGTATTCTCTCGTTTATGTTTGTCAGTTTCCAAATTGATTTTTTTCAGCTGATGACGCTCACCAGTCATCCACTGGGGATGCCTTCTGTATTTGTATCTGATATTTTCTATTTGATTAGCTTATATGCAATCATTTTGAAACACGAACTTCACACTACGGTATTTAAAACCAAACTTATCCCAACAACATTTCATGTGCTAATATAATAATGATATCTAATTTCAGATAACATTTAAACAAGATCTTAAGTAAAACAATTTTAGTTGAATTAATTAAATTATAAATATTGTGGTTTTTATTTCAAATACTGTAATTTTAGTATCATTTGGTGCTTTTTTGTAAATTTTTAAATTAAAGTGAGTTTGAATATAGTGACATGAAGATTTTCTGTAATGTTTATAGATGCACAAATAAATGTACAGTCTATAATCCACTTGACAAGGAACAACTGCCGTTTAGTAGTTGAACCATTAAATGACGATTGCCATTTGTCCACATACATGAAAGACCAGGTTAATAATTATCAATTTAATTTAAATCCCAGACATAGTTTTTAAATATTTATCTTTTATCATTTATACTGTACAGTATGCAGCTGTCTAATTTAAAGCCCAGATTAATAATACATTTATCAATTTAGTAATTCTCGATTATACTTAAAGCTTTCTGTTATCTTTTTTATCATGGTTCATGCAAAGGCCTACACTTACAGCGAAAGCCCAGGTTAATAATTGCCAATCTTAATGTATGTTATATTTAGTTCTATTAAACAGATGTTTCATGATCTGGGATTAGGTTGGCTTACAAAAAAAAGCTGTAACTATGGACAACTTTGTAGTGAATACCTTATGTCTTTGGTCTGCAAAACATGATTTGCTTCCTAGTAGTATTTTGTATGCCTTTGAGAGTTGCTTTTGATGTGAAGATATATGAAAAGAGCGAAGAATTTTTAAGGATAATAAAGTGAGGCCTAATTGCATGATGCAAAAAAATCAACACAAATAAACATAATTTTGATAATGTACAGAAAAATTGAGTAAGATTTAATATACCTGCCCCCACCTGTATTATTGCTCTATTGAAAGAGTTTTATAAAACGCCTGTATTAATGAGAGTAAATGATTCATAGACATTCATTTAATAGCATAATTTAGATTTGCAAGAGTTTTCTTTCAACATTTGTGCTGTTTATTTAGTATAAATTATTTGCTGTTATCAATTTATCTATATTCTTCTTTAGATTTATTTTTTAGGATTACAATTTCTTGCTTATTTATCAGTAAAACCATTTTATTTGCAGATTGTACTAACCATTTGTGTGACCGGTATGACTTTAAAGAAGCTGGTTACTTCAACCTGTTAATGCTTGTGCAATTGCTCATTGAACATCCTGAGGTCCTTATCTGTCTGATTGGCTCTAGAAGTACATAAAGCAAACACACACAGCCATAGTACTTGTTTGTTTTAGTGGAGTGAAAGTGTCCTTGCTTTAATTGAATTTAGACATAATTAGTAGTAGAATTTAAGCATTGCTTTTTAGTTACAATTGTACTGTTCACACAGAAATGTTATAGAAGACTTAACAAGTGGAGATTGCCACTTGTCTCAAGGCAACCACTTAGTTCGTATTTCTAGACTACGATTACTACGATTGAAAACGATTTTCCAATCTTACAGTCTGCGAGTTTAATATGTAAGTGTCAATTTGCATAATTTGATAGCCTACACGTAAGCGTTAAAAAAGTGGACGTCCAATTTTATGATGGATTAAATGATGGTATACTGTGCAAGGCTATTGGTCGGAATGATCTGGCATTGTTCAGATTTTGATTAACATTTTACAGTGTGTCAACCTTGCTGAATTGTAATGCAAATTTTAGTGTCTTCCAAACAGTGTTTATTTTTTTTCTATACATAGAGTGAGTTGACGTAACAAAAAATAGGACTGGAATTAAGTAAATTTTATGAGTTTTTTTGGTTTTGGTTGCATTGTATTGTACATCCATAGAGAAAATAGATCTGTTCTATTTTCTCTATGGTACAACCAATCTCAAGCTTCTTCTTTTGTGTCATTGTGTGTGTACCTGTATTGAGTTAAATTGTTGTTCACATCTTTTGGACCAAATAAACTTAATAATTGATTATAAAAAGATAGTTTTTTGAGTGGAATCTTGCATGGTGTCATCATCCATTGATGGTCTGCTGTTAATTATTCCTTGGCTAAATTTTATTATTTACTGTATGTTAATTTTTATTAACTTCTTTTTTAGGCACATATGCCAAGTAATTGTCTGTTTTTAATGTATTGGCTAATTACATTAAAACTATTTTTGTTAGATGGGAAAGCAAGTGCTATTCTCAGTAGGTACTTCACCTTGCTTGAGAATTTGTATTTTTTGTTACTAGACCTGTGGAATATGTCCGTATGTTTCATTCTAAAACATACAGATTGTGGAATTAGATGATACTGTATAATGTGTGCTATTATTAAAATATAACAGTTACTGCAGTACTTTTGTGGTTATCAAGAAGAATGGACTGTCAATCTTACAATATAGTACAATGCTTGTTTATTTTATAACAATTAGCAAAGATATCTTATTTGAATTGGAGAAACCTATAAAGGTACTGTGTGTAAGGAGAGCTTTTGTTTAATTTGCTGTTAATTGATTAATTGGCATCTGTGTAACTTTCGATGACATGTTCTCTTTTGTGTAGTAGTCCACAGGTGTTAAGTTGGATGCATTGCTGATGTATCTTACTTGCAAGAACATTTGTTAGATTAATAATATATGAGGTCCCAAAACCAGCATTAGTGACCAAAAAAATGATTTTATAAATTCTTATTCTCAAGATTATAAGCCTTAAAGTGATGGGTTTTGATTTTATATTTATATTGTTCTGTTAATTTTTGTTTTGTGACAAATAAAATATGATTCAGATTCTATATGTGCACTATTTTAGGGTTTTTAAAGTACAATTTCCTTTGAGCATTTACTATTATAAACATTACCTTTGACATCCATAATGATTTATATTGTACATTTGTTCTTGCAGCTCTACAGTTACCATTTTGCTGAGCCAGTACCATGGAGGGCCACACTAGGAAAAAGTTTTGTAAATTCTTCGGCCCATTAATACTCATCTACTTCATCTATAAAGATGGCATCCGATTTTAAGCAGACTGGTAAGTTTTCTTAAGGTTTTGGCTTTTGAATAAATAATGCAACTATTAGTAATTAAAAAAGAAAACTTTGGTATTTACTTCATTTTGGTAAATTTTATTTTTTTGTGAGCTTATTATTTTAAAGGTTATCAGATGAGGGTGGAAAAAAGATAAAAATATTTTTTTTTCTTATTTAGCAAATAGTTTTGCCAGACGAAGGAGAAAATAAAGATAACATTTTATTGGTGAATGCAAACAGTGTAGTAATGGGATGGTTAAATGCTTTAAATTTATATAATTAGGAAGAAATACATTTTATTTTTTTTCTGAAATTTTTGTTTTTTTTCATGGCGGCAGTGCACTAATTGGCCAAAAATGAAATTTTATTTTATTCAAAATTACCATTATGGGCAGGCAGCTAGTTCGCTTAATCAAGGTATAAAAAAATTCTCGCCTTAAAAGTATTCAAAACTTTCTGTATATTGGTATGTCTCCAGCAATAGCTACCAATAAATCATGAATGAAATAGAATTTCAGAATTAATGTCAACCAAATACTCCTACTTATTTCTTATGACCATGTTCACAGTTAACATTTGATTTGTCACTACATTTTCGTTAATAGCTCTGCTAGGCAAGTAGACTAAGTTCATTGTTGAGTGTTTACATAATACGGCATAAAACTACATGATAACATTGTCATCATATGAAGTTGGGTAAATGCAATATCATCTTATCTGTATGTCCAAGGTACTGTAAAAACATATGCCCATTCAGTGGCGTATCTAGAAGACTTGAAATGGGGGTGCTGATGGAGGGAGGGGCGGGCGTGAAGGNNNNTGAAGTGGGGGGGGGGTGCTCGATGATCATTTGAAGGGTGCTAACTTGCAAAATAAGGTAATTTTAGTTGTTTTTTAAATACTTGCAAGTGATTTTTTTGAGGGGCGACTGGGGTGGGACGCAAGTAATTTTTGGAGGGGCGTGGCCCCCCCTGCGCACCATCCCCCTTTCTAGATATGCCATTGTACACATTAATAGTCTGTTAATTTTGGGCCACCGTCCAAAATAATTAAAAGTCTACCTGTGAATTATAAGATTCTATGTCACAATTTGAAGAAATTTTAAATGTTAAATATATATAAAATGTATTGGAAATATATGTTTCTGTTTGTTTTTCCTTATTTATATTAGAAAAAGAGTCAGTTTCTGTAGATAACAAACTATCAACTACTTCCCGTGGGTCAAGCGCCAGTTCTGCTGGCTCCCATAGAAACCCAAACCTCCTCCGAAGTTACCACAATCTTGCCATGCATCTCTTCAACACTGGGCCAGAACGGGAAGTGGAAAAACTGTTTCTTGTAGCCGCACGCGATGGCCAGTATGACCGTGTTGAGAACTTCCTACAACGGCGTTCTCATGAGGTATGGTAATACCAGAAGCTTACAAATATTAGCCAATCATAGCATGTAAACAACTGAGGATGTTTACATTTCTGAGGTAAAATCTTAAAAATGACGATGATGACAAGATGACTAACATAAATAATGTGCAAACTATGCATGAAATATTATGTAATTAATTAGCATAATTACCAGTTTTGCCTATTTCTATTTACTTATAACTAGATTGTAAATATTGATGTGAAAGACCCGGTGACTGGTAACACGCCGCTCATATGGGCCGCTAAACACGGTCATGAGAAAATTGTCCAGTTACTACTCAAGTATGGTGCTGACGTGACTTTGAACAATTGTGAACATCAAACAGCCGTAGGGGTTGCACAGCCGAACATTCGTCGAATCCTCATAAATTCTGTGGATCGTACCGGAAGTTCTCCTCGACACCTGTTACAAGCGGCGTGGCAGGGTAATCTAAAAGTGGTGCAGAAACTCTTGGTAAGTTACAGTACCTTCCAAATAATTATTTCAATAAATGTTGCCTTAGCTGTATGGATGTTACCCCTCTGCCTCACCTCACCTATCCTCTTAGTGCCTTGAGGCACATAAGGCCATACACATCAGCCAACCTATACTAACCTTCTCTTGTTATGTATTTTTTCAAAGTTGTTAAAATGAGTTTTGATGTTTCCTATTTTCATATATTGTTTAATTTTATACTATAATATTCTAAAGAAAGGTAGGGAATGTACCATTAATTTTAAAAATAGGCCACATAAGCCATAATAGAAAATAATGAATTACATTTGACAATCCTTTTTCCCCATGTATAAACTAAAATAATGAAGAAGTCACGTTCAGAAACTTTTTTTTTTAAAATTAAAAAGTTTGTTTTTTTCCCTCTGCAGAAAGAAAGTCGAGTGCTAGATATTAATTGTCGAAATGCAGATAGCCTCACCCCGTTGCTACTGGTAACAAGAGATGTTGATGTCTTCCATAAACGTAAGAGTTTTTTTCACATTTTTTTAACTTTCCCTAAATGTCTTGGTCGTGAGTACACACATATTTTATTTTAACTTGTTTATATCAGTGGGACAAGAATATAAATAGAAAATGTGTAAGCATATGTAAGAAGTCAGTGAAGAGCACAAACATTAAAATATGATATAATGCTTCGCTCAAAAATAGTTTTCATTTTTTCTGAAAATATGTTGAAGTTTATAAAAATAAACATATTCTCAATAATGACCAATTTGTTTCCCTAGTGGGGGATGCTATGAAGAATTACAATCCCGAAGCTGTTGTGGTGGAGCTGCTTCTCAATCGTGCTGACCCCAATGCATCTGACAACGAAGGCCGTACAGCCCTGCACTACACAGCCTCCCTGAAATGCAAACTAGCAGAGAAAGTTACCTTAGCCCTACTACAGGATGGTTCACAAGTGGAAGTACGGGACAAACACTGTGTCACACCGGTGCACTTTGCATCTCAGAATGGACAGGTTGAGGTGCTACTAGCTTTATTGGCCAATGGTGCAAATGTGAATATTCGCGGTTATGCTGGTACCACACCGTTACATGTTTCGGTAAGATTAAACTAGGGAATATTGTATCATGTTTGCGTTATATGTATTGCAGTATGAAATATGTAGTATTCTTATGTTGAATTTTATTATTATTAAAGTTTTATATAATGTTTATTATATTATTATATGGTATATTTTTGTTTATAGTCAGTGCAATTATATTTTATAAATATATTAATATGATGAACAATAGTAGTATATAATTTAACTGTAAAGTTATACAGTTCATTATTATAACAAATCACCAGGTAGAGAGCACACAAATGTAGTAGAAGAAATGCGAGTGGTGGGAAAAAAAAATCTTATCTTCTATAGTAAAATACCTGTCAATTTTCACCAGAATTATATTATTAAAGTTTAGTTTAGTGTTTATTTAATATATAGTATATATTTATTTATAATCAGAGCAATTATATTTTATATACAAATCAGATCTTAGCAGTTGTATATGTGTGATAAACAATGAGTAGTAGTATCTAAATATAAATGAGGTTATGCAGTTTATTATAACCGGCAACTAGGAGGAGAACTCAGATTGTTCACATATTCATCAAGCATAATAGAAGATATGCAAGTTGTGCTGGAAAAGAAATATTATCTTCTATAATAAAGTACCAGTCAATTTACACCAGATTTATTACCATAAACATTATAGAGCATAATATTAATAGCTAAGAAAATAACCCAGTTACCAGATATTTCAGTGACTTGACATTGTGTATAATCCTTCAGGCCCAGGCCAACCAGTTTCAGTCAGTGAACACACTATTAAACCAAGGAGCAGATATCACGCTTGTTGATGACAGGGGTTTCACACCTGTTGATGTTGCCCGCAACAAAAAGATGAAATCCACTTTGAAAGGTAAGCTACAAAAGAAATTTTGTCAACAAAATTGTTCTTCTAAAATGAATTTTATTATTTTTTGTTGCTTAACTCTAGTATGTTTTAAGTAGTAAAATGAGTATATACATAATCAAATGTATCTATTTTACATCACCTACCATAGATGCCTGGATGGAAGCAACTTCTAACAAACAGGAACAGACTGTGCTTAGTCCAGTCAAACCACCCTCAAGGGCCTCACTGAGCCGTATTTCTATTGATGAGAAGACGCCTAGGGGGACACCAAGAGATGTTCATATCAATTCTCCTGATAGTAAGTATACAGATGATATATGGATGATCATTAAAAACATTATTATTTATGTATTTATGGTATTTCTGAACTGAGTTGCAGAAAATGTCTTGTTACTCTGATAATAATACCTTTGAATACCAAGAGAGGATTGGGTGAGGTAAAGTAGTTTCCCATTTTTGCAGATAAATTTAAGAAAATGTTGGACTGCATTAATATGTAAAATGTAGCCCAGGTCCCTTCGAGAATGGGCTGTAATTATGTCACTTGCATATATCCTGGACTGTCATATAATTTAAACCTAGAATTTCCAAATCAATTATGACATTTCACTTTAATATTCAAGTTTATTCTCTAATTTCCACTTTTGTACCTTATTTGGTGATCTGATGTTTAAGGTCCTTCTTGGGCACCTCCTTTCCAATATGCCATACTTAATTTTTTTTTACAGAAGTAAATATTGTTCAGAAGATGACTGAAGCCCACAAAGCATTGAAGGCTGAGGAACAGATACTAAAGGACTTAGAGGCCGACCACTTTCCTCCTGGGTGAATATGTTCTCAGACCCCTCATTTTAACTCCTGTCTGATAGTAATACACTTGAATATTAAATTCAGTATATAATTGCTTTACTTCATATATTTTTAACCTTTGCATATTCAATACTTATAGATTACTTTTCAAAAATTCAAGTTTTTGTAGTTTATAATGATTTAATTTATAATACTTTCCCACAGTTTGACGAGCAAGAAGCTAAAAACACCAATCCCTCCAAAAACACCGAAGTCTGAAAAGACAACAGCAGGATCATCGTCAAGTAATCCAGCTCCCCTCCTGGATAGATCAAAGACAAAACGATCACTCTTATTTGAGAGCAGGGTAAAAGGAGAGGCAGAGATAGGTCACAAGGCTAGTACAAAGGGACACCAGAAACTTGCTCAGAGACATTGTGAGTAAAATTATTTTTACATTAATTATTTGTAAAATGAAGACTAAATATGTTTTAGTACACTATTATTATTGTTGTTGTTGTTGTTACTGTGATTTACTATTATTGTTATTATTATTTACAACTACGTGTGCTGCTATAGTTGTTATGATTTTGATTATTATAATTATTAATCACACTGGCATAAAAATTAACACCCAAAAAGATTCATGATTTTTATCAGCAATCCAACCTAATCCTATGATAGGTAAAGTTTATTTTACTTGGGACTTCATTAATTTGTCAGCTAATATCTAAATTTAAGCCATAGTTATTCTGCAGTTACCTGTACACTGTAGCAGGGTTTTCAGACTTTGATTTAAAGAAAAATTCAGGAACGCTATTGATTGCTCTCCTCACATAATTTTCAGGAGCGCGAAGGAGTGCCGGTGTGATTGCGTGCCTTTTAAATCAAGGTCTGGGTTTTGGTTAATGTAGATATGAAAATCTCACAGTTCAGGTGTATAAAATCTGAGCTGTAACAAAGCTGATTGTCCTTTACCAGGAAATGTGTAAACACCACCACAGACACTGGTGTAAATGGTCCTGGTCTTTAAACTCTGATGTCTTTTATGGTCAAATCAATCAAATTTATCTGAGGAATGCTTTATAGCATAAATCCTAATTAAAGATAAATACATTACAGTAAGTTTTTAAAATTTTGTTGTCTTTTCAGCGGATCCAACAAGACCGGATCAAAATTTGGTTCCTGTTACAATAGTTGGATTAGATTTAGATGAACATGCAGATGATATGCGGTTAGTATACTACAGTATTGTTGTTATTACTTTACGTTCATTGTTAGTCCCCACTCCGTCCTAATAATATTGTAGTAGCATTCCTAGTATAAGTCAAGGGAGTGGGGAGAGCTTCTAAGAACTTCTTAGTAAAATTGAAGCAGTGTGCTTATACCCAGTATTTACATACTCTACTGTTGAATTCAATTTTTAATGAATTTAATTTTTATCAAATCCCTGTGCTTTGTATTTCTTCATTTTGTAATGCATTTTGTCAATTCAGATTGCAAAGGCTACTGAACAGTCCAATTAATGGTTTCTTAGAGCGTCAGAAGAAGAGGGGCTCTCTGCCAGAAGTGAATCCTTTGCCATCTTACAGAAGTGCAATGAGGCGAAAGTCTACACCCAATAAACAAACTATATCAGAGGTGTTGGAGGTGGTAAATGACTATCAAAAGCAAGGTAAGTGCTTTTATACTAAATTTCTATTATGCAAACAATTATTGTTGTTACTAGTGATTATTAATTATTTATTAATTCTACAGTATATGTGGCAAAGACAAGTCACTTGTTGAACAATAAAATGAGAGCTATAAAATAGTAATAGAATCATTTAAATCTGACATTTCCTTATGAAATTACAAGTGTAATACATACAGCTGTTTAAAGGATAACATTTGAGAAATTGGCCTTCAAAGTTTATGATTTTGGGCATTTCTCGGGTAGAAACCATCACCAAATCGTTAAAAATGTTTGTTTTAACACTGAAAATTGAGAAAATAGCAGCATAGCGGGATGTATAGATATATAAAGGTTAGTTTAGTGCAATGAAATAGATTTTTAAAAATTTAACATTCCGGCATGTTTTGCCCATTATCTCTGAAACACGATTTGCGAGGAGTGACTGGTTTAGCTTGTCTTTGCCATTGCCTCATATTGATTTTATTTATCTTAATTTTCATAATTATTTTTTTTAATTGTTATTATTTTTTAAAATAATATTTTGTATACAAATTATATTAGATTTTCAAAAGATTGTGATGTGCCAATCAATATAATATCTTCAACATTATTGTTTTAAGATGGTTGCAAAATTAGTTATTCCTATTTATATAAAATTTATCATAAATTTTTTAACAAAATTAACTGCATATATTAAAAACTGTTATTACTACTGCCATAAGTACTATTAATATTATTTGATTTATGTTAATTTCTAGATCAAATTCAAGTTTGTTTCACTAGTCCAAGTCCATTAAATGACGGCGGGAAATTACACCCTTTCTCTAGAACAGTGCTGCCGCCCTCTCCAGGTCTACAATTGGAATCACAGCATATTATTCAAGAAACCATCTTTGAATTTGATAGTGAGAATGAAGGAAGCCAGTCAGCGCTAACTGGAAAGAGAAGGTTACAAAATCCTAAACCAGACTCAGGCAATCATTTGAATTTATCAAGAGCTGGAACTTTGATGAGCCAGAAACGCACATTCAATATTGAAATGTCTCGCGTAAAAAGTAGCTCTGAGTCAGATCAGAGCTCTAGTCAGTCGAGTATGAGCTGCACCAGTTCAAGTATGAGTAGCTTCTCAACACCGAGTCCTCAGGACAGTCCCAGAGTCGATTTAATATCAAATAATCAGAACTTTCGTACTTCAAACAGAATGGGAGTTAAGATGACACCTGCAGCAACTGTGACTCAAAAAGAGTCATCTGAGATGATGGAGGTTAAGGATGTTGAGAGGACAAGTGATAGTGTACTGGAGTCTGATCAGGATTCCGGAGTTGTAAGCTCCTCTTCTTCACCACCAAGAAAACGAAGCAACACAGCAGGAGCATCAAAAAAAGACAGAGTCCTTCTGAGAGAGGTTTCTGAAGATTTTACAGCCAAGGTTTTCCCAGTTGATTGCGATTCACATTTGGATAAAAACCTTGGCTCTAACAAACCGACGAATGACGTCATTCATGTTAACTTTATCACATCCTCAGAACCAGCAAAGACAATGAATAAAAATGCATCCTCTGACTGTAATGTTTCTAACACTTCAAAGAATAGTAGTGGAAAAGTGAATTCAAATACTACTAATATTTTATCCTCAGAAAAATTAACTAAACCGAAGCAGAAACAATCTCCAAGAGTAGCTACCTCAGCTAAGTCAAGCTTTCTAATACAAGAATCAAATAAAGGTTGTGATAAAATCAGTAACAGAACTGTGTCTAAGTCTGCTGGAGCAGTGAAAGTTTCTGTAACCTGTGACACTGTTAAGAATAAGCTGGAGACACTGAATCCAGCACCAGTTATCTCAAAGACATCACCGACAACCAAGCCATCACCAAAGCTTTCTAGTGGTACACCAAGTGTAGCTAACAGCTTTTCTAGACTACCTAAAGAGGACTTGGCATCAGCTACTGATGTATCTACAATTAAAAATGATGCAAATTATGAAGTTGTAACAATTAAAAATGACAACAGTATTAAACCCAATAATGTTAACCCATTGAATATCATCAGTGTCAAACATATAGAAAAATCTTTAAAGAATGATGCAAAAGATGGCTGTGTAAGTGAAACACTGGCTACAAAGCATAATAAAAATATAGAGAATGCGGAGGACAAGCCAACTGAAAGTGCCACCAATAAAGTCGTAGATACAACAACTGCACTAGAAGCAAACAAACCCAGTAATACTTGTATAGTAGACAAGAGCTGTGTTACACATCACAAAAATGAACATTCATCAAGTAAGAAACAAACTTCAAATAATGTCACCAATAAAAATGTGGAAGTCGTTATTAGGCATTCAGAAAAACAGAAAGCTGACAAAACTCAAACATCTTCAAATACCAGTCTTGCCACTCAGACAGTAAAGAATGTCCCAGAGAAGATCATCATCATTCAGGCAGGAGATACTCCGAAGCCTCATATTTTGGGTAAAAAGCTTGAGATGCAGGACAGGCCTGCAGAAAAATGTAAAACAGAAGAAGCTAGTACAGCGAAACTCACACCAAGGATTCCATCTGCACCTAAACCAGCTGGACCAGGAAGACCAAAATCGCAATTCAAGTCACCAGAAACCTCACCTCGTATAAAAGAAGAATCAGGAAAAAAGAAGCCAGCTCCAAGTGGAGTAATATCTGGAAAGGACAACAAGGTTCATAACACTCCAGTTATTTGTGATATGTTTGAAAACATGAAAACTGAAGTAGAAATATCTAAAGGTGCTAAGACTGTTACAGAAAGGAAGAAAGTATTAAAACAAAATGGGCGTAATAATTCGGGGAAACAAAAGAGATCACAGAGTGCGCCAAAAGATAAAGCTCTGAAGGAATCTAGTAAAGTGGCAAATAAAGGAAATCCTGCCAGCCAGAGTTCTTCTGTTAATAAGAAAAAGAAGATCTCCAAGGAAAAGCCTGATGTCACTGGTAAAACTAAAGGAAAGCCAAAGACTTGTAAGGCTGTAGAGGTAAACCAAGAACGCAAGAAAACACCCAAGAAGAGAAAAAAGAAACCAAATGAAGACACAATGGTTGTTAAAGATGCTGATGCTAATACAACAGCATTTATTTCTGGACAAGGTTGGCATATAAAAACAAAGAAAAACGAGTCGGACAATGTTATTATCCACAACCAATTACTGATGGATGATTCTTCCGATTCAGAAGGGAGTATAAAATTGAGCCCGCACAACACTTTAAAGATACAAGAGGTGGCAAAGATGCGCTCCATGACCCAGGAACAAGTTTGCAACTTTAAGAATGTTATGAGCCCTCTGGAGGCAAATACCCCCAAGTATATACCTGATACAATGGGGACAATCAAGACATTTATTGCAAATGCTTTGAAGGATGATTGTAATAATTTACATAATCAGCTTAGTACAAGGCAATTCAGCTTTGAGGAAAATGAAATGAAATCAATATGTGAAGCAAAAGAAAAAGAAATTTTATTGAGAAAGAAAGGAAATAAAGACATTGTAGAGGGACCAGTTAAAGGATTAGCCTCTAACCTTTTAACCCCAAGGTCTGAAGTTGACAATTTAAGTTTGTACAGTGAATCCTCATATGACACTAATCCTGAATTGCTGAAAGTTTTTAAAATTCCTGATCATGTTGATAATGAAGAACAAGAAGTAATTGAATCGGATGTAGAGGAAATAGAGGTGGAACCAGTCCACTTTGTTGAAGAAGCAGTGAAAGAACATGTAATGAATCCTGTGATGGAAAAACACATTAATAATGATTCTAATAAGCACCTTCAGGCTGATGCATCTTCAGAATCTCCTGGCACCAGGAATTCATCAGCTACTAGTACAAGTTCTCGGGTTTCTTCCAGTACGATCAGAAAGACAAAAGCTACAAAAGACTGTGAAGCTGAACTTGCCAATAAACCTCCACTTCCATCACACCAACCCAAGAAATTGCCAAAAAGTGCCTTCAAAAAGCGCTACAGTGAACCAGTTATTAACTACTCTCAGGATGAATATGATGAACTAGATAAAGAATACTTTGACGAGCGTGTGAGAAAATATTCAGCTGGGGTGAGGGAAAAAAATATGAGTGTGGAACCGAAAGAGAAAGTTAGTTCCTCCACAGCAAACTGCAATCTAGATGAAGGATGTCAAAAGGAAGCAGGGAAGGATAAAATAAATGAATTTTCAATTCTTGATGGAAAAAGCTTGCCAAATGACAGTAAAGTCAACAACACTGTAGATAGAAACCAATCTGAATCAGATGTGTTTGATGACCACAAAAATAATCTTCAGAATGTGCAGAGAGCAGAAAACCCTGTTAATCAATTGTCTGCTGACAACCCTGATAAGATTCTTGTAGACACAGACTTCTTACCACCAATTAATTTGCAACGACCTTCTGAAGGTTCTGATGAAGAAATTGACTTATTAAATGATAGTCTGACTCTGTCTATTATGAGTGATGTTCTTGAGAAGACACTCAATGAAGCATCAAGAACAGGATCTTCCTGGTCTGCTGACAGTGTGGTGAGTAAAACATATTAAACTTGGCTCTGTGACAACTTGTTCTTAAAACTTTGCTAACTCATTTAAAAAAAATAACTTTCTTTCTTTGTAAACAAAAAGATCTTTCTTATTACCAGAAAGTACCAAAGAAGTAAACCATTTAGTAATATTATTACAGAAATGTATGGGAGTAATTTGCATAACTATGACATCATTGTTTAAGTTCAGAAGTCTCATTATATTTATTTTGATCCCATTCAGACAAGAACAAGTATTCTTGGTAAAGGAAGGTCACACTCGAGTCGAGTGAGTAGCAGCGATCGTAGTCACAGTTCTAGTACAAGCGTATCCGAAACAGAAGAAGAATTACTGCACTGGAAAAAAGGAAACATACTTGGAAAAGGCGCATTTGGCCAGGTAAGAAATAATGTACAAAACATATTTCTTCCTGGCGTTTTTATCTGGTTTATCAAATTTGCCCATTTTTATACAAAGACAGTACAATAGAAAACTAAATATGTGCCTACATCTCCACTCCCTCTGTTTTTCTCTGTTTTTTTTTTGACATGTATTTGAGCTTCCCAGCCACTAATATAGTATACCTAAATCCCACTTGAGCAATCCAGTCCAGCATACCTGTCATTAGGGAGCTTTTGATTGGACAACGCAATAGAATCTAGAATGTAATGACGTCACTAATATTTCATCTGCGCATGCGAGAACGTTAAGTTCTCATCGTGTGGATTCTAGGATGCAATTTGGCCAAATCTGCATTGTGCAGAGAAATTAATACGGTCGCGCATGAGCGTATCCATTCTAGGGCCCCTAATTATATGACATAGTCATGAATAGAAACAAATGAAATGAAATAGAGTAAATGTAAATGTCTTCAGACACTGTTGCAACTAAAGCCTGGTTTCCCTAAAATCCCTACACTGTCGCTACAATGTTTTCAGTGCAATCCCTGACGCAACTGGGAAGACTACGACGGACCAATCAGCATCACCAAAAGCTGTCGCGATAGTGTGTAGCGATTTTATGGTAACCAAGCTTAACTGCAAGTAGCTATCGTACTTGCATGAAGAAAGCAGTACAAAAAGGCAAATGGGAAAAACCCATAAAACAGCAAACGGCCACATGATGCAAAACTATTTAAAATTAAAACGGAACAGTAGAGA